CAGAGAGAGACCAGAGAGAGACCAGAGAGAGAGACCAGAGAGAGACCAGAGAGAGAGACCAGAGAGAGACCAGAGAGAGACCAGAGAGAGAGACCAGAGAGAGAGACCAGAGAGAGAGACCAGAGAGAGAGACCAGAGAGAGACCAGAGAGAGACCAGAGAGAGAGACCAGAGAGAGAGACCAGAGAGAGACCAGAGAGAGACCAGAGAGAGACCAGAGAGAGAGACCAGAGAGAGAGACCAGAGAGAGACCAGAGAGAGAGACCAGAGAGAGAGACCAGAGAGAGACCAGAGAGAGACCAGAGAGAGACCAGAGAGAGACCAGAGAGAGACCAGAGAGAGAGACCAGAGAGAGACCAGAGAGAGACCAGAGAGAGACCAGAGAGAGAGACCAGAGAGAGAGACTAGAGAGAGACCAGAGAGAGACCAGAGAGAGACCAGAGAGAGAGACCAGAGAGAGAGACCAGAGAGAGACCAGAGAGAGAGACCAGAGAGAGACCAGAGAGAGACCAGAGAGAGAGACCAGAGAGAGAGACCAGAGAGAGACCAGAGAGAGAGACCAGAGAGAGAGACCAGAGAGAGAGACCAGAGAGAGAGACCAGAGAGAGACCAGAGAGAGACCAGAGAGAGACCAGAGAGAGACCAGAGAGAGAGACCAGAGAGAGACCAGAGAGAGAGACCAGAGAGAGAGACCAGAGAGAGAGACCAGAGAGAGACCAGAGAGAGACCAGAGAGAGACCAGAGAGAGAGACCAGAGAGAGAGACCAGAGAGACCAGAGAGACCAGAGAGAGACCAGAGAGAGAGACCAGAGAGACCAAAGAGAGACCGGAGGGTCTGATGTCACACTGTGGCCGGGGAGGGAGGAGTTTATGTTGCTGTTATTGTGAGACTAAATATGTGCAGTCACAAAAATACCCCGATCCATCTGTTACAGACGGTTTCCAAGTCTTTTGTCGATTGAAAAAACAAAAGTGATGCCAGAGATTCAGATCCATTTGAATTGTGGAAATGATCCGCACAGACTGACAGAAGATCCTACTGCTAAAACAACGCTAACCCAACCCCCGCTCGTTTCTCTGAGCCTTTGAGAACAGAGTGATGGGCGGGGACAGGTGAAAGGTGAAAACAGACCTGTTCTGAGCCTGTAAAGCAGGACCATACATGACTTAAACACTTAGTTCCAGTGAATAAGAAGGAGACGCTGTTGTCGTGGTCGGTCCGTTGAAGTGTGTGTTGGTGTCCTCAGGTATGGCCGCGGTGTTGCCCCGCACACTGGGGGAGCTGCAGCTCTACCGGATCCTGCAGAGGGCCAACCTGCTGTACTACTACGAGGCCTTCATCCAGCAGGGCGGCGACGATGTGCAGCAGCTGTGTGAGGCTGGGGAGGAGGAGTTCCTGGAGATCATGGCTCTGGTGGGCATGGCCAGCAAACCTCTGCACGTGCGGCGCCTGCAGAAGGCCCTGAGGGACTGGGTCACGAACCCCTCTGTGTTCAACCAGCCGCTCGCCTCTCTGCCCGTGTGCAGCATCCCCGTCTACAAGCTCCCCGAGGGCTCCCCCGGCCTGCTGCCCTCTCAGGACCGTCCCGGCAGCGCCAAGATGGCCAAGGCCCTGCCCTGCTCCGACCCGGGGAAGCTGGAGGTGTCTCGGGAGAAGGTGTCCGCCTCCCCCCTGCAGGGCGGCAGCGAAGGCCGCTTCTGGTCCGGCCACAGTAACGACAGCGAGCACAGCCTGTCCCCGTCAGACCTGGGCTCGCCCTCGTCCCCGAGGGAGGGGCTGGAGGCGCTGGACGCCGCCGCCGTGCAGTCGGTGCTGGAGTGTGTGGAGAGGATGGCGCCCGGACTGCCCAAGAGCGACATCAGCGACGTCAAAGAGCAGCTCAAGACCAACAAGAAGCTGGCCAAGATGATCGGCCACATCTTCGACATGAGCGAGGAGGACCCCCGCCGAGAGGAGGAGATCCGCAAGTACAGCGCCATCTACGGGCGCTTCGACTCCAAGAGGAGGGACGGGAAACACCTCACACTCCACGAGGTAAGATCAAACTCCATCTTTAAGTCCCAGTTTATCCCAGATTATCCTTCACTTCTTTGTTCAAAAGTGAAACATGCACCTTCCACTGAAGTCAGTTTGGGTTATTCTCACATTGGTCTAACACAAAACTGTATTTTCTCATTCCATGGGAGACATTTCTTGTATTTTCAGAAAGATCATTTTGTCCCTTTTGCAAATCTTGTTTAAAGGCAGTAAAGTCACACGTCTATTTATTTTAATAATTTAAAAACGGGTCAGTTTACTGGGTCTTGTGTAACTTTGAGTCTGTGTCATCGCTTTGTCTACTACAGTACCTTTTAGTTTGTATTTATTTCATTCATGTTAAAAACAAAAGTAACAACAGCATTTCATAATAAAACAGCCTCATGTGTGCCCAGTGTGCGCTGGAGACAGATTTACTTTGGCTTTTAACGCCAACGCCACACCTCCAGGACGTGTGCATCGTCACGGAATTAAAGCAGTACAAAAAGGAAATACAAACAAGTAAACAAATAGATGGATAGCCTCTCAGCAAGAAGGTCCTGGGTTCGAATCCCGGTCGGAACAGGGCCTTTCTGAGTGGAGTTTGCATGTTCTCCCCGTGTCTGCGTTGGTTTCCTCCGGGTACTCCGGCTACCACTAAAAACATGCACAATAGGTCTGAATGTAAATGAGAGAGTGAATGGATGGTGTTGGGTCAGAGGCTTTGATGGTCCAGTGTGTTCTGGACTCGCTTCTGTCATCACCGTGTGTGGAAGGATTGGAACAATATCTGACTCTGAACATTGGAAAGTGCTTTGGGTCTGTACCTTTGGGTCTGTACCTTGGTCTGTGACATGTGCTATATAAATAAACATGACTTCCTTCTGTCTGTAGCTGACGGTGAACGAGGCGGCGGCCCAGCTCTGCATGAGGGACATGGCTCTGCTGACGCGACGGGACGAGCTGTTTGGACTGGCCCGGCAGATCTCCAGAGAGGTCACCTACAAGTACACCTACCGCACCAGCAAGTAAGTACCACAACCCCCTCCTACCACACAACGGCAGCTCAATACTCACTCTGTCTGAGGTCGGGTTTAGAAGGCCATGGTTTTGTTGCTCGGTAATGATTGAATTTGGTATGTAATCTTTGTATGTAATATTATTTAACAGCTTTTTAGACCCTTGGAGTTTAAGAAATAGTACAGTTTTGATTCCCGTAAAGTCTGATGAGGTAATCCTTGTAATCCTTGTGTGCAGACCTCGATGTGGCGACAGAGACGAACCATCTCCAAAAAGAATCAAAACTGAGGTAAGACTGTATGTTATAAAGCTGTATGTTCTTACCTGAGAGCTCAATGAAGCCCAATAGGGAAGTGCTCATGGACAAAGTTTAGCTACAACGGGCTCTGAGTGACTTACATTGAAAAGTGAACTCCCATAGCTCAGTAACCAGTGACCAGCCGTTCAGGAGAGTTCATCGAGCAGTTGTTGAGGCTCATATCTGGATTTACAAAGACAAACACAAATGTAACTGAGCGAGAGGAGTTTACTTTTCAATATAAGTCATTAGGAGCCAGAGCGAGGGGTTAGCATGTCCATGTATGTCCAGTCAACGGGAAACTCTAGAATGCCATAGCAACATGTTAGCAACACGTTCGTTTGCCTCCGCCCCTGCTGTGGCGCATAGGTTACCCCGTCGGAACAAATGCCCATATAAGGAAATTGGCTCCAGCTAGCTAACGTTCAAACTAACTTCTTCTACATTTGCCAAACACACTCGGTCCACTCCTAACATACGCTCTACGGTCAAATCAAATGAATTCAAAGCGCTAACTTGATTGAACTCTTGATAAAACCCGATGCTTGAGGAGGATCTTGTCTGCGTTGTGTTTCCAGGAGAACTTCTTTGACCTGCAGGAGGCGCTGCAGGCCATCCACATGAGGCAGGAGATGCTGAGGGAGCAGCTGGCCTGTGCCAAGTCCAAAGGGGAGGAGTCTGTGGGACGCAACCTTCAGGTAACGCTCACTGGGATCGATTCATCTGCATTTTGTGAATGAAGTCGCCCCAAACATGACGCACTCGTTTATCTTTAACTGTGTTTTACTTCTGCTGCTTATTCACCAAATACTGTGCTTTTATCTTCTTAAAAGCTTTTAATTTGCGATAACAACATAGTATATTGAAACACAACAATATTTTAATACGACTTGACAAAAGATGAACCAATTATTCATCATACAGTTTTGGTTAGAAGAAAAACGCTGCTAAGCTATTAGTTTATAAATGCTTGAATTAAGGAGGTTTTAAACTTATTTTAGAGCATTTAAAAGTGTAAAAATATGCAGATAAATTCATAAACAAATGAAAAGCTGAATTGATTTTTTTCTTGCAAAGAAGGAAAATGCTGTCAGTTTTTTTTTTTTTTTACACAGATTAGTCCCGCCTCCAACGCTTTCTGATTGGACGCAATTGATTAATTTCCCTGATTGACAGCTGAGGCCCCTCCCCATTGGTCCAACCATTCTCTTACTGCTGACACTAAAGGGGGGAGGGACCGTTTTAAATAAATGCATTATGAAAAAGTTCTTAACTTAAAGATACTACATAAGGTCATGAAACATGTATTATTTTCTCCTTTTCTCTCACCTTTGAAAATGTAAATACTTGGTTCAACAATCCAAATCAAGGGACATTTTTAAACAAATTCAATTAAAATGATTTTGGTCCGATGGTCCGTTTGGAGCGGAATAACCATAAATGCAAAAAAAGTGGGTAAAAAAGAGAGAATCCTCGGGGAAACCTCCCACGTACCGACAGCTCTTATGAAGTGAATCTATCTTTTTTCTGACCCCACATATTTCAGTCCCTGGTTCCTCTTGGTTCCTCTTGGTTCCTCTTGTTTCCTCTTGGTTCCTCTTGGTTCCTCTTGGTTCCTCTTGGTTCCTCTTGGTTCCTCTTGGTTCCTCTTGGTTCCTCTTGGTTCCTCTTGTTTCCTCTTGTAAACATCTCCCCGCGGACCTCGGCCACGTTATTAAGCAGTCCTTACAAAGTGGACATGTGTTTGTGCGTCTGCCCTTTGTGCTTATTAGATTCCTGTTGTGTACGGCTCTTTTTCCTCATTAGGGCCGGCGTGGGAGGAGGAGGCTTTATGAGACCCACCATCATACATGTGTGCACTGAGTAATCTCACAGACCGGGCCGTTATTCAGGGCTTGGTGTAGCTACAGTCAGGGAGATCGGAATCATGGACATCTTAAACACCCTCTAGTCATTCTTAAGCCGTCTATATTTACCCTGACAGACTGCGTTCGGTGTTATCGTATTTGTTATTGAGTCATGAATCACGCAGTGGCAGAAATAATGACTCCAATGTTTCCTTACAGTGTTGCCAGGGGCTATGCTAACGTTATCGAGTGTGATTATCTGTCAGGCCGAGATTACAAGTTTACGCTCACGTTCTGAGGTCCTTTATGCAGGCACTGAGTATTTCTACATGATCTGATGTGGTTTCATAGACAGGGAAAGATATGTGTCATCTGCAGCAGTTTGGGTTAGGGTTAGCTAATGGCTAAGTGTGAAGAGAATCGGGCCAAGTACCAACCCTTGTGGCACACCCAACTTTACTATAAAACAGGGTCAGGAGTTTTGGTTCACATTAAAAACCGATCTGAAATGTAAAAAGTTCATGTTAAAGGCTCAGAAGTTCCTATTAATGAGAAAAAAGTGTGAAGAATCTAGTTTTTAGGTGGATTTAGCGTCGTTTGTGTCCTTTAAAGGCTCAGTCGTGGTTCTGTAGTGACTTTTGGGTCTTCTCTTCAGCTGCAGCTGGAGCGGCTGCTGGCTCGGCAGATGGAGATCCTTCAGGACGCCGCGGTGCAGGAGAGACTACAGACCCTGGACTGGAGGATCCCCCCTGCCGCCCTCAAGTACCTCACAGACCCCCCCATGGCCCTCAAGTACCTGAGCGACCCCCACCACAGCAGCAGCAACGGGGCAGCCGCCGAACCCAGAGAGCACCAGGGTAAGACACCAGGCCGGGCTGCTCTGGACGGGTTATATCTGTCTGTCTTTTTTATTTTTATTTTTTATTATTGATTTTTTATTTGTCTTTGTGCTTATATCACGTACATACATCAAATATATTGTCTTTACATTTGTGAAAATACATTAGTAAAATATGTTTGTGGGGAGCCAGATATTAACTGATGGTAAATGTTCAACAAACCACAGTGTTAAAAACAACAGACTTAAACCAGACACAGACCAAACGAAAAGTCAGGGAGCTCAACTTTAATGAATTAGGTCTGAGTTTTAAATCTGCTGCTACAATAATCCACCTTTTTGTTTTGTACCTGGAGACGACTGTGACCTCTGAAAAGTATTCTTTGGTTTAAACATGAATCAGACCTTATCCTGTAGGTTACACTGGCCTTGAATCTAAAAACACAGGAAGGCCTTTCAGATTTATGCTAAAGTCTAGTCTTCCTGAAAATGTGAGACAGGCGACTTCTCTGATGTTGTTCTACTCGAGGTTAAAAACAGTTCTGTTTCTGCAACAACTGAAGGATTTGATCTTAACTCTTGTCAATGCTAATATGACTAATATTCTCTTGTTTTGTTTAGCACTTAGAGTCGCCCTGTGTATGAACTGTGCTATACAGATAAACTGACCGTACAAAGCTAACAAAAGCTTTCTGAGAGACTCATATATATATAAATATGATCTCACGGAGCAGAATGGCTTCTCAAGTGCGTTTTCACATTTGGAGACATTCAGAGAATGCGATTGCCGCGAGGGCGGGCTCCTGTGGGCCGCTGGCTGCAGGTAAACAACGTGGGCGGGATAATTACAGGTGCATTGTGGGAATTGTGGGCGCAGAGGATAATGAGCTGCTGGAGGGGTGCGCGTGGGAGGGGGTGTAACGACCAAGATTGCTCCTGTATTAGACCACAGAGCCTTATTCCTGGCACTTGGACCACAGAGCCTTATTCCTGGCACTTGGACCACAGAGCCTTATCCCTGGCATTTGGACCACAGAGCCTTATCCCTGGCATTTGGACCACAGAGCTTTATCCCTGGCATTTGGACCACAGAGCCTTATTCCTGGCATTTGGACCACAGAGCCTTATCCCTGGCATTTGGACCACAGAGCCTTATCCCTGGCATTTGGACCACAGAGCCTTATCCCTGGCATTTGGACCACAGAGCCTTATCCCTGGCATTTGGACCACAGAGCCTTATTCCTGGCATTTGGACCACAGAGCCTTATCCCTGGCATTTGGACCACAGAGCCTTATCCCTGGCATTTCGACCACAGAGCCTTATCCCTGGCATTTCGACCACAGAGCTTTATGGCATTTTAGAGTCGGCAAAGCTTCTTCTGAAATATATTACGGTTCATAGAGGTGTGGGAACGCGTTCAGACAGGACGTGAGCCGCCTGCTGGTCACGGTGGAAGCAGAGTGACGTTTTAAAAAAGAACACGTATATCTCTGTGTTGTAGTTTTTTCAATATTTGCAATGAAGCATGTTGTGTTTTGGCTGCAGACGATCGACCCGTGAACCTGCGTGTGGTCAGTCAGAGCATGGCGGAGGGAGAGCTGCCTCTGGGGAAGCAGCTGGCCAACGAGCTGAAGCGCCACCACAACCACGGCACCATCAACACCAACCACGGCACCATCAACACCAACCACGGCACCATCAACACCATCAACAGCAGCAACCACACGGGCGGGACCAGCAACGGGACGGAGGAGGGCAAGGCAGTAGGTGTGTGTACAGACCCAATGTTCAAGGTTTCAAGGTCCTGGGTTCGAATCCCAGTTAGAACAGGACTTTTCTGAGGGGAGTTTGCATGTTCTAACAGCACCCCCTGGAGGCTCCTGCTCCATCTCTGTGAGGAGCGAGACACAGATGTAACAACTGTAAAGCTCTGTGTGACTTTGGTCTGTGAAAGGCGCTATATAAATAAACATTACTTACTGACATAAGTTCCAATAACCCTAAATCTGACTTTTTTAAAACCAACCCATTCTCTCTTTTGTCCAGAAAACGGCACAACGCAGCGAGTCCCGGGCCCCGCTGAGAAGAAGACCATCAAGTCAGAACCAGACGACTCCACATAGTGCCTCCCAACCCCTTCCCACCCATAGTCCCGCCAGTCCTGGTCCAGTCCTGGTCCAGTCCTGGTCCAGTCCTGGTCCAGTCCTGGTCCAGTCCTGGTCCGGTCCCGGTCCCTTCCCTGGTTCCTCACTTGGCCATATGCAGCTCAAGCCCAGCACTAAGCACAGCCACAGGAGAGCCTTAACAACCAGAGATGCCTCAGAAATAGCATTTATTTTTATTTTCTTTATTTAAATTTGCCAAATCGTGGAGCACCAGGAGGAGTGCGCGCCACCGGTCGTTGTTGCATGTTGTTCGTTCACCTTTAGTGTGATTTATGGTGTGTATTTTTTTACTTAGATTCAGAAATAACCAAGTGATGCAGGAGGGAGAGCAGAGTTCACTGGAGTACTGTGATATGGAGTTGTTATGTCCATCCCCCGCTCCTTCTGTCAAAACGCTGCTGTCTCCAACTTGTTACACTTGTGGCGTCACCTGCATGTGAGAGCCAAGCAGAGCACTGAAGCTAAGCATGGCAGGTCCTGGTTAGTGCTCTGATGGGAGACGTCTGAGAACACCAGGGACAATGTACTTTCATGTACAGTAAGTATTTCTCAACAATAATGTATTTGAATTAGCCCCTCCCCTTTGTATAAGTTTGACCAGTTAGATTTGCTGGAGGAGAGTTTTGACCAATCAGAAAGCGCAGCTGAAATTCCCTTTAAGTGAACTAAATATCGCACATTAGTTTTGGCCGGTAAAACAAATATTATTGTGATTATTTACTTGTTTACGTCATGTTTTGGAATGTGAAATGACAATTAGTAAAAAATGCTTTGTGCCTGTAACTCTCCATGCTGCCACCAGAGGGAGTAGTTGATCATACCATACATACCATTACAGGACTGAGACAGGAGCTTTCAGACAGAAGGGGCGGAGTTTCATGTTTTTGTGCCAGAATTTACAAACGTGGATGAATCTAAAAACAACTCCAGGTCGGTTTTTGATGCGGGAACAAAAACGCAGATTTTGCTCAAACCGTCAGAATTACACCTCTTCTCACAAAAACGATGTTGTCTAATGTTGTCGAACTAAAATGGTCTAGACTCACCCCTGCATCTGTTTAAACATTTCATTTTTTTGTCTAGTATTTTTTACGGGAGTTCTTTTGTTACGAACGACCACTGACTGGAAATAAGTGTTGCAAATGTTGACGATGGTGTGTAAATATTGTGCTAATTTAGTGCTAGCCTAATCTCCGTGCTGTGTTTCTGTGTAGCGCAAAAACAAGAAGAATAGTAATATATTTGTCAAAGTTACACGGTTCCGACGCGAGGACGGCCTTAGCTCCTGACGCCTCGGTACAAATGTGTTTTGGATGTTACACCGTTATGTTTCTGTGCTCATTTGGTGTCAGTGTGTTGAACGAGTAAAAGTAAGCAGCACTTCAGGGCCACGCGGAGAAAGACAAATCAGGACTAGCTTTTATACGTACTTTAGGAGTGTTAGCCTAAGGCGGATTTGAACATAAGCTAGCTGGAGCCATTTTAAAACAGGGGAAGACTTGTTGCTAAGGCGGTTGCTAGGGAAAAACTTGTCGGCCCAAATATGGCTCATATCTGGATTTACAAACACAATATTATGGTTTAGTGCTCTCTATGACCCTGGTGTTTATAAGCCTAAAATGATTCTGAGCAAAACTTTGTCCATGAGCACTTCCCTATTGGGCTAGCGGGTTAGCATTGTCCATCTGTACACGAGAAAGGCAATATTTGAATAAGGTGTAAATACTGTATCATTATAAAGGAAATACATCCAGTTTTTAAACCAAATTTATTTTGGTTTTCTCCGGGAGAGGATAACACACTGATTTTAGAATTTTGCGTCAATTTTTCACATTAATTTAGCCTGATTCAACCCTGATTAGTAAAAAAAAATTACATTGCACATATTGTACACTGAGCAACAGGTTCTGTAAACGTATCATTTAAATATAAAAACAAGAAAATGTATTTATATTTTATTGAATTAGAGTTTAAATGGGATAGAAAATAGTTTGTGTGTGAAGCTAGCTGGTGTGATGTCATCGTGAGGGTTAACGACGGCCCCGTTTCCACCAGCCCTACTCTTTGTCTTGGCCCTACTCCACTCGGCCCTACTCTACTTGGCTGCGTTTCCATTGCGCTTTCGTCTTTTGGTACCGTATCCTAGCAACCGGTAACCAATGAGTGTCCGTCTGTGGCCCCGCTCTTCAGCCAGTGTCTGTGTCTCTGTGGAAGGTGCCATGTTCTTGTCCAATGTTGTAAAGTGCTAGATTAGGCTTCACCCCGTTATGCACCTGTTTTTTTTAGACACTAATATATTTTATTTGTTATACTGCACATAAACATTAAACTTTATTTTTTGAACTGATGCAATCTGTGTTTTCTGGTCTTTTTGGATCCACTGTAATCTGGACAGAAGCGGCTGCAGATTAATTATAAAAAGGATATGTCAAGTTATCATTGAAGGGCCCTAGGGATCTGTTATCATTAAAGGGCCCTAATCTGTCATCATTAAAGGGCCCTAATCTGTCATCATTAAAGGGCCCTAATCTGTTATCATTGAAGGGCCCTAATCTGTCATCATTAAAGGGCCCTAATCTGTCGTCATTAAAGGGCCCTAATCTGTCATCATTAAAGGGCCCTAATCTGTCATCATTAAAGGGCCCTAATCTGTCATCATTAAAGGGCCCTAATCTGTTATCATTGAAGGGCCCTAATCTGTCATCATTAAAGGGCCCTAATCTGTCATCATAAGGGCCCTAATCTGTTACATTAAAGGGCCCTAATCTGTCATCATAAGGGCCTATCTGTCTCATTAAAGGGCCCTAATCTGTCATCATTAAAGGGCCCTAATCTTCATCATTAAAGGGCCCTAATCTGTCATCATTAAAGGGCCCTAATCTGTTATCATTGAAGGGCCCTAATCTGTCATCATTAAAGGGCCCTAATCTGTCGTCATTAAAGGGCCCTAATCTGTCATCATTAAAGGGCCCTAATCTGTTATCATTGAAGGGCCCTAATCTGTCATCATTAAAGGGCCCTAATCTGTCGTCATTAAAGGGCCCTAATCTGTCGTCATTAAAGGGCCATAATCTGTCGTCATTAAAGGGCCCTAATCTGTCATAATTAAAGGGCCCTAATCTGTCATCATTAAAGGGCCCTAATCTGTCATCATTAAAGGGCCCTAATCTGTTATCATTAAAGGGCCCTAATCTGTCATCATTAAAGGGCCCTAATCTGTCGTCATTAAAGGGCCCTAATCTGTCGTCATTAAAGGGCCATAATCTGTCGTCATTAAAGGGCCCTAATCTGTCATCATTAAAGGGCCCTAATCTGTTATCATTAAAGGGCCCTAATCTGTCATCATTAAAGGGCCCTAATCTGTCGTCATTAAAGGGCCCTAATCTGTCATCATTAAAGGGCCCTAATCTGTCGTCATTAAAGGGCCCTAATTTGTCGTCATTAAAGGGCCATAATCTGTCGTCATTAAAGGGCCCTAATTTGTCATCATTAAAGGGCCCTAATCTGTCATCATTGTAGAGTCAGAAAGAATCCTTTCTTTTTGGTGACTGAGCAAAAAGGGTCTGACGCTCCACATAAAAAATGTCAACAAAAAAGATTCTTGAATGATGAAAATTATATTTATTTTACAAACAAAAAATTTACTTCAAATTGTACCAAAATCAAAATGAAAGGCAGATGTGAGACAGAGTGAGTGAGTGAGTGAGGTCAAAGACTGTCTCTTCCTACTGCAGCCACACCTCCAGGTGATACTGCACACCTTATGTAGCCCTTCCCCAAAGCGTCCACTAGATGGCGACAAAAGCGTCAATGGGGGCTGTGCAAAGTATCTTAACTACATTTTGGCTCCTACAGTCATTAAAGGGCCCTAATCTGTCGTCATTAAAGGGCCATAATCTGTCGTCATTAAAGGGCCCTAATATGTCATCATTAACTCCTTGACTGCCATTGACGTATTAGTCTGAGACCCTCTATTCAACTGGGGACTACAGGACAAAATAAAAATAGCTAAAAGCAAACTTATTTTTGCGGATGAAAGTAGACAATCCAGTCTTTCAGAATCTGGTTTCACATTTCACAAAGTCTTAGAAAATAATATTCTATGGGTCTTGAGAATCAGTGATATCAAAAACGGCTGGCAGTCAATGAGTTAAAGGGCCCTAATCTGTTATCATTAAAGGGCCCTAATCTGTCGTCATTAAAGGGCCCTAATCTGTCATCATTAAAGGGCCCTAATCTGTCATCATTAAAGGGCCCTAATCTGTCATAATAATAAACTGTTCTTTTCAACAGTAGTTCAGAGATATTTGATTTTCTAAATTACTTTTCCAGCCTCTAAATCTTGTTATTGTTTTCATTTTGATGTCCCGCCCTCCACCGTTTCACCAATCAGAAAGTCTGTGATCCGAGCGCCAGAACTCACCGCGTGGAGCTAATCTCACTGGTAAAGTACCATGTGGCGCAGAACGACAAAACAAGTAATAAAACCAGGATTTCTATCTTTGTGAAAAAGGTGTTGGTTATAGATTTGTTGTTGACAAAACTCTTGTCTATTCAGCTGTTATGGTCCCAGCTGGATTCGTCTGCATATCTGGCAACCTGAGTCAGGGAGAGTGGGAGAGGCTGCAGTACCACTTTTGGACACATTTTTACATAGCGCTTTTTAAAGATAGGATACGCCTCTCCTGGTCATACCATGTGTGAACTCTGGTCCATGATTATTTCCTGCATGTACGTCTGGGTCTTACCATGTGTAAACTCTGGTCCATGATTATTTCCTACATCTACGTCTGGTCTTACCATGTGTAAACTCTGGTCCATGATCATTTCCTACATGTACGTCTGGTCTTACCATGTGTAAACTCTGGTCCATGATAATTTCCTACATGTACGTCTGGTCTTACCATGTGTAAACTCTGATCCATGATCATTTCCTACATGTACGTCTGGTCTTACCA